GTTAATAACAAATTTTGACCACTTAAAAATAATTGAACTTCAACTCAAAGAACCCCCCGGCATGATGGGCTGGCTGGGGAATTCTGGGAGTTGAAGTCCACTCATCTTAAAGTGGCCAAGTTTGGACAACACTGCTCTAAACAGATGCCATGCTCCTCTAAGTATCTGCCAAAAGAATACATACGTGTTATTATATCCTGGGTGATCCAGATCATGACACACCGATGCTGTCATCAGCATTAAGATATCCATTTGGGAAATCTTTGCCTAAAAGAGAAAAGGGAGAAAATGCAGTCTTCTAATTTCATACAGCTTTTACAGCATTAGAAGCACATTTAAGTATCAGAAAAATAATTTAAAACTAGGTTCAGTCAATAGTTAATGGCTACATTTACTGTAGCAAGTTTAAATATCCTTTTTCTGGCAGGGTAGCCAAAGCAAATCATTCATGTTTGGCTGTGATGTATAATTAACAACAGGATGGAAAGGAAAAGTTGGATCCACTTGACCATGGATAAATTTTATTTAAATGCAAAGGTTGCTCAGCTTGTAATATGTTGTGCCAGGATTTATATTAGTTAAGAAAGATGTTTATTTCAGTATTTTATACTTCATTTCAGTATTGAAGATAAATGTGAAGAACAGCCATGTGGGAATATTTCTGGTTATCTGCTGCTTGCTGGAGAAAACAACCTGGATTTGCACAAGAAACTCTTCTTTGCAAATACACAATATAATTAATTATCTTGTCTTGAGATATTCTTGCCCTACCAGTCAAAAGACTTGTTTATCTTTCCTTTCCTCTCTACTGTAACTTTTTTTTTTTTGAATGGAAAGAAAAAAGCAATGGGAAAACATGGAAGTGTTAGAAGTGGGAAAAAAGATCATATGGACCAACTATCAAATTCTATGAACGAAACATGGCAACTGTGTGACAAAAGTCTTATCTAGAAGCACACTTGTTCATGTATTGGCCACTGAACCTGCACATCTATGCCCACAAATAGAGTGGACATGATTAGCTTCTCTATGAAAATGTGAGCTCTACACATTTGGAGTAACAATCTTAATACTGCTTAGATTAGAAAGGGGCAACTCCTTAAGACAGTGTGCAGTGAAGCTGAACTAGGAGGTCCACCCCCAGCCAAAATGGTCAGGACTGAATCATGTTATGCAAGACTGCACCTCTCTCTTCCCACCTGCTTCCTAAGGGCAAAAGTAATTCCCTTTCTGCTCTGAGCCTGACAATTTTCCGGCACAATCAGAGTAGAGCATTTTGGTGTTGCAGCCTAACACATCTGGAAGACATTGTATTGAAAATGGTGGAGCAGAGAATGATGCAAGAGGTTTAGGCAGTTTGGGCCACCTTGAATTTAGTTGAAAGAGGAAGCCAAGATACTTTGGTCCTCTCCTCTGTAAGTCAAAGAAATGTTAAATGCGTAGCATTTCTTTCTTTCTTTTTTTTAAATTGCAGCTGTGAAAAGTTTAGCATGGGGTGGAGGGCAGGAGGAGAATTAACTGTTTCTGCCTGTATCACTTTCCTGATCTATCTGTCTTCAGAAAGAAGGTGTTATGAAACCCTTTCAAGAGCAAATGCTGGCTGCAGCAGGAGGAAAGGGGAGGGGGTTCATTAGGAAAGTTGCATGGGAAAGATTAAAACCTCTTTGGTTTGAATCTCATACTTGTTTTTTAAATTTAAAAAAATAGGCCAAAGTTTCATGTCGGTTGGTCTATATTTCACAGGGGGTGTCAGTAAGGTGCGAACCTGCTATTTTTCTTGGGTCATTGCTGATTTATGCATTAGAGTGGCTGTGGCTCAGAGGTAAGGAACATGCTTTGCAGTCAGGAGGTCTGGAGGTGAATTCCTGGCATCTCCAGTCTCCAGAGAGGCCTCCTATTTGAACTCCTGCTGCCAACCTGTGTTGACAATATTGGGCTAGATGGACCAATGATCTGATGCAATGTAAGGCAGTTTCCTATGTCTCTCGGATCCTTAGAAACTGCCAGGATTGTTAACCATCTTCTTTTCACTTGACCCTTCAATTCTCTTAAATGTAAAAAAAAATTCAGACTGAAGTGACTTTGGGAGCAGTTATTCCAGCAAGGTCCCAGGGATGCAGAAAGAGATGCTCTGCGTTAGGTCTTTCAATACTAAGTTAACAAAACACTGTTATTGGGGGTGGGGGGCATAAAACAAAAGCCATGGATTTAATGATGCTTTATGAAGTCCATTTTTCTTCTGACAGGGGAACTGAAGAGAGAATAAAAGTGGCCAGAGAAAGACACACCTGGAGGTTGCAGAGTGAGATCATGCTGTACATCATCTGGGTAACACAGAAGCAATGTCGAAAATTATGGAATGGATTGTTTCTGTAATTGTCATGAATACACAGCTATAAAAATAAAGAGGAAAAACTGATAAAGAGAACAAGGATGTGGCACTAAATCCCAATAACCAACCCTTTGGTGCCATAATTCTCTCCTTTTAGATTCTAAAATACTATAATTCTATAGCTATGCTATCTTTGTACCTAAAAAAAAGAGATAAACTCAAAATCATCCTTTTTGTTTGTGTTATTGCTACATACATGCTTGTTTCTTCTCCTTATTGGGGTCACATCCCATTTATACTGGATAATAATAGGGTGATCTCTGGTATAAGGCAGAGAACTGCTTCACAAGGTCATAGAATTGGCCAGATAGAGATACTGGAAATATTGACTTGTGTATCCATATCTTGTAAAGTAAGTATAGCAATTTTGCTAAAACCTATGGTTGTGAATAAATGTATATACTACTACTACTAGAAGTAAGTGTAGTGATGTGGGAAGGGGAAATTTAAACTTCCTGATTCAGGGAGGGACTGACATGCAGAGTCATCCTGAAAAGGGCCAATCAGCAAGTATAGAGGATGTGATTATAATAAACATTTTAAGTCACCAAAATTGCCCTGGAAATAAAGTGTGCATATATTCCCATCCTACTATTCCCTTTTAGGTTAAGCAACACTATGTAGTGTAGAAAAGGAGTAAGAAATAGTATATCAAATAAATGAAAGGCAGGAAATAAAAGAATAGAAAAGGAATATATACCTAAATGTGGTTTACACCAACATCATTCACTACACTTACTCATACTTTCTTATCCCTGCAAATAGCTTCTACCAGACATGTACATTTTCATTTTGTTAACTCACTTTAATATTTAATCCACATTCATCCAGGATCCTACATTTTCAGCCCTATCTCTTCTTGTTTTACTACATGCACTTCTTAAGTAACCCATGCCAAGTGCATTCAACTTACTTCTATGTTTCTCCTAATATGTCCAACTGTCACTACTATAAAACAAAGTAGGCTGAAGCGTACTCTTATAGACAGCCATTTTTGGTTCTTTTGACCAAACATTCATTCTGCACACCGGCACCATATACTACCCACATACACCTGCTACCTTTGTTCCTTGGCTGAATGTTTACCAAACATGGGGGAATGGATAGAGTCATTTTAAAATGTGCAGATGCTGGAAATAAGGATGTTGAAGAACTTCAGCTTTAAGCAAAGTGGGCTAATTCACCCTTCTCAAACGACTATGCAGATTGGAACAGACCTATCCTTGGGAATTTATTTTTGGGGTTTTGAAATATAGTTATTATCTCAAAACATGTGTACAAAAATGTATAAATAATATAATATAATATAATATAATATAATATAATATAAACAGAATATAAATGATCCAGCTCATTTAAATGGTATTGTGAGTGTATGCCATGATTAAATAATGGAACTGTCTAAAAATAAAATTGATGCAAAATTGATTTGGGACATGAAATAGGCAAGGCAACTCAGGTAAAAGAACTAATTTCAAATCAATAGTATATATGTATAGAATTCCATGGGATGCCACATATCCTAATCAGGGCTAGACAAGCTGGTACCCTCCAGATATTATGGATTATGATTTACAGAATCCCTTGCCATTAGCCATAATGGCTAGGGTTGATAGTGGCTGCAATTCAAAACAGTTGGAGGGCAACAAGTAAATTGTCTCCCAGCACTCTATTGGATACATAATTTAAGTTTTTCATTTTAAAAAAGGGACCCCAGAATAGTCTGAGTTCAGTACTGGATGGGGCCAGCATGGCAGTTCTTACATTCTAAGGGCATTTTAGCATTGTTGCTATCTTGTGCTGACACCCATTGTACTCTAAGCTGGCTCAAGAAAAGGAAAAGGAAAGGAAAATAATAAATTTAAAAATGTCTCTCTTGAGTTTTGAACCAATGACCCTGTGCATATCCGGCAAATGTGATAACCATTATGGTCTTTGAACACCATTGCTAATAACACCGCTACAGAGATTAGAGAGCTGCAGGGCAGCGATGGGTGGCCCAGGTGAGGGAGCATTCCCACCTCTGCACATAGCACAGGGAGTTGCCTAGAAGAAAGTAAAACTCAGCAAGGAAACCAGACACCAACACTCAAGCCAGCATGAGCTAGAAAACAGTACTTTTAATACGGAGCAGAGCAACACAGGCAGAAGTCATATTTGTGGTGGACTGGGGGCACGTAGGGAGTGATGTTGTCTGTTCCTGGCCTCTAAAAATAGCTGGTGGCCGGTACTTGTAATGGGGCAACCTGGCAATGTGGATATACCTCTAAGAATGAAGCATGCGCTCTACTTTGGGCACTAAATTTTTCAAGGATTGCTTTGTATTCAGCTAACTTTTGAGTACTAGAATCTACACTGAGAATATATTTTTGCAAGCTTAAAATTATAAATGTTTTAAATCCTTGTTTAAATCCATTGGCAACTTACCAGCCACCGTTTCAGTGTGATAGGGTTGATGTTAAAGTCTTTCACTAATCCTAAATCATGATACATATGTTCTAAGCAACTCAGCATCTGGAGGAAAAATAAAAAGTATACATTTTTATGGTATATTTTCTTTGTAAATTAAAAATACATGGCATATAATCTATTGAATGCAGCTAGCAAGTTGAACTTCAGAATGAGTTTAACTTTTTAATTCCCAAAACTCACTGTTGATGACTAAATGACATATTGTTACAATGTAATGAATTGTTCTGAATTTTATATAATGCTTTTTAAATTTTTTAACGATTAAGGAAGAAATCCTCAGAATTACTGAGGATGTTTACTTCTGTTCAGATCAACAGCATGACTCTTGATTTTTCTTGGAACAGAAGCGACAGCAGTATCTCTTTTCTATGGCAAGGGGCCAATTCTCATGACTCTCTAAATCTCTACCTCATTCTCTGCCCATACTAAATAAAACAATCTAATATTTAAACAACAACAACAACAAAAACCAACACCCTTTTCTTTGGTAATGAATTGATTCCAGTTCTATGAAGCCTTCAAATCATGCTTTACAGTATATTTAGAGAACAGTCCCAGAAAGGAACAGAATCTGGTACGAAAATACATACTTCATTTTCATTTTTTTGTGCATGAAACAGAATCATCTGTATAGTTTAACAGCGCACTCAAGGAAAACATTATTTTAAGATGACAGTCATAGGATATAAATTTCTATTTTTCAGTGCTGAGTGCTAATCATTCAACCTGAACATTTCTTTCCTCTAATTACTAGTAATACTATTACTTTGGCATTTAAAATGTCCCATTATGGGTGTTGGAAGTAGACAGAGTTAGGCTTACTAATTCTTGGGAAATTTTAAAAAGTTATTGTGTTATTGCTTTGTATTATAATGATGCAGTAAGGTTATAATTTAAAATTCTATTAAACAAACCCAATGCACACCTGGGTAATATAACTGAAACACCTCAGATGACCTTCTGTCAAAGGGTGAATCTCCATATGATTCTGTGACAGTGTGTTCATATTGTCTTAAGGAAAGGCTTCAGAACAGAAATGGAACATTTGGTGTTTATAAACCATCCAGTATAATCACTCATTGTACTAAGATGCTGAGTTCATCTAATTCTTCCTAGTTTGTCTTAAAAACCCATATACCATTATTTCTACCAATTACTTGGACAAAAGGTGCTTACATATAAAATCATAGTGTTGGGAAGGAACTTGAGGATAATCTAATCTATCCTTGTTTGCTAAAGCATGGCCTACAATGCAGCATACATCCTTGATAGATATGTGTTCAGCTGACAAGGGTCTACCACCTCCTGATGCAATCAATTTAACTCTTGAGAAGTTCTTACTATTAGAAAGTTTCTTTTAACAGTTACCCAACATTTTCTTTTCCCCCGCTCCCAAATTTCCAACCCTTGGCTCTAGTCCTCATAAAAAACAAAACAAGTCTGTTCCTTCTTCATGGTAATCCTTCAGACATTGGAAAGCTATTACTGTATCTTCCCCATATATTTTCTTTTGTAATCTAACCATATCCAGTTCTTGCCTGCATTCTTCATTGGATTGTACTTTCTTCAGCCTAGTTGGACAGGCTCCAGTTGATCAATGTCTTTTTAAAATTAAATATTCAAAAGGGGACCCAAACTGCAACTGATCCTATTGGTTTGTGAACTAACACTAGTTTCTATTTATCCTATTCAGTTGCATCCTCTTTTTAAGAAGACACATCAACTACTTCTCATCTTCAGCTTCCCCTATCTAGTGGTCTCCAAATACTTTGGGTTAGGGTTAGGGTTTACAGCTGTATGGCCAATGGTCTAGCATGATGCAAGCAGTAATTTAAAACACCTAAAGGATTCTCCATTGGAAATGATTTTCAAATTTCTATTTTCCTTTCCATGCATATCAAATTGGTTTTGAAACACTGTAGGTATTGGGAACTAACTTCAAGAAAAATATAGTCAAATTGGAACTGGCTGAGAGGAAGACAATAAAGATTGTTAGTGATATTGAAAGGGGTATGATGTTTACTTTTCAACCTTAAACTGCATGGGATTCAAATATTTTAAGAATGTCTCCTCCCACATCAATTTGGCAGTGCATTAAGATCATAGATGAGGAAATTTTATTTGGGTGGCTTTTGGAAAAGAAGTGCATGATAGAGGCATGAAGGATACTTCATGGTGATGCCTTGACTTCATATGTGTTTATGCATCATGCTAAACCATCATTTCTTTTAATCATAGTTTAATAAAAAAGCCAGAAAGTAGTTAAAGTAAGCCTTGGAGCTGATTTGTTTAGCCAGCTCTTGGTTTGGTTTCCCTTAATTTTCACCTGCTTTGCTTTGCTTCTCAATGGATTGATTAAAGCGTAGGGTGGAGCATGAACTGGACATAAACCAAGAAACCACAAATAAATTACCTGTCTGTATTGTTATATCACTATTTAACCCTGAACTGCAACAATTTAGCCAACAAAAATATGGTTTCAAAGTGAGCTTTATTGCTCTAAAATAAATCATGGTGTTTTCACTGATCTAATAACATTTGAATTAAGCTAAACATAAACAGACCTTATTATCTTTTAGCATGAGATGCAAACCCTACTTTTGAAATGCTTTTTCTAGGGAGCTTCAACAGGTGTTATTTTTTTTAAGTGCCATATTAGCATATTCCTTTTGGGGGTGCATTTTAAATTTAATTTTAGCTTATTCAAAGAACGAAAAAGAAATCTGCTACATATTTCTTTAAAATTAAAATTATATAATTAAACAAAACAGTAGCAATTACAGCACAGACATGACACAATGCATTTTTCCACTACCATCCCTCATTCTCTGCTCCAAAATGCATTCAGAACAGTTTATATTTTGGAATGATGCAGTCCTCCAACATGCATTTTTGTAGTATTTGTACAAAATAATTTGTACAGCAACATTGCATAAAATGCATATTTTGGAGGAAATTGCATAAAATAAAACAGAACCTCCAAGAATTAAAAATAAAGCAGAAAATTTGATTGAACAAGTGATATGTCAATGGCCGATACAAATTGGATTTAAACTGTTCCCTACATTTCTAGTTTATTTGGATAGTGAGATTTTAACTTGGTTAATAAGCTTTGCTTTAATGCCTTTCAATTTATGATGTAGTGATTTATTTTTCATATTATAAAATACTTTAAGGTATTTTATATAACAAAAGGTGGTCAAAGGTTGTCTACATACTTTAGATCTTTTTTTTAATGATAAATCCTATGAGAAGATGTTAAAAGAACAGCATATGCTTAAGTGGTAATAAGACTGAATGAGAAAGCAATGCCTTCTTTAAGAAGCTGAAGAATTTTCTCACTGAAGGGGACAAAGCCTTGTTCTCTGCTGTTCCCTAGAGAAGGCCCTAGACTGAATAGGTATGATGTAGGAAGACAGATTACAGTTGAATATAATGAGAGGCTTCTTAACAGTAAGAGCAGCATGTGAATGCAGCTGTTACTCAGAAGGTAATCAGTTCTCCCTCAGTGAAGATCTTTAGGGACAGACCAACATCCATCTGTGGGAATGATCTAGTTCTACATTTCCTGTACCAAGGACAGAGCTAAACTGAATGATCTACTGCTCCATTCGACTCTGTGAATCCTGTAATTCTAATTACTCTGCTCTAGTTTCTTCTGCTTTTCCACTCTACATCTATATATAGAATCAATCTTTTTAGACACGGAATTGTGTTTATATATTTTCAAAGCAGTTCCTGGATGACATTAAGATCAAGGTTCCAATCCTCAAGCAATCATGAACAAAGCCACAAAATAACCTTACAGGATGAGAGGTCAGGGATTTTTTTCCAAAGAACTGCATTACCTCATTGGGTTCCCACAGCCAGACATCAAAAGTTGGTTTCCTAAGAGCTCCTATTGTCTCCTGAGAAAGCATGTACTGGGGAGAAAACAAGCCTTTGTTATGAATCTATGTTGTTTATATAGATCAGTAAATTGGATGACTCAGCTGATGTCCTTCTCTATCTAAGCTGAGTGTTTCTTTTCAAACATCAGGTATCATCCAAAAAAAATCTATCTATCTATCTATCTATCTATCTATCTATCTATCTATCTATCTATCTA